CTCATCTGCCCCATACTCCAAAGGAGAGTTCATTCTTAGGAGAGCCTTGTATGTCATATACATTAGCAAAACTAAACATGCTGACCTTTTTGTGACTTCCAAATTCAGCCTGCATAGCTGTTAAGGAAGAGAAATTAACTCCTCCTCAGCTTCACAAACTATAAACCCCCAACAAACCACCACTCTAATGAGATCTGCGCAAATGTCAGCAACTGATTTGAACTTTCAGTGAATTTACCCTTTCAGTACTGCACGTAGAACTTGCTGAGTAAATAAACCATCTCCTTCTAGTTGGTATTGTGCCTAGGAAGGAAAGGCATGATGCTGCCTAGAGGAAACAGCAGTCATGTGCAGGGATTTACTATTGTCTTGGCTTTTGAGGGAATGGGATTTTAGGGGGGTTGGGATTTTGGTTTTTTTTTTTTTTTCTCTTGTTTTTTTTATTTTTTTTTAACTGTTGTCTGTGTGTGATTTTGCACTCTTCATTTCTGTGATTTGCTTCCTATAAAGATGTCCATTTCCAAAAATTGCTGCAGGATCCAGCCTGTCTTCAGAAACACACAAAGACAACATTTTTACTGGATATGACCAGTACTCTCTAAGAAGCGTGCTTATTAAAGTACATTGTTTTGATCTGTTATTTTGAAGTTTGCATTACTTTCTGCATCAATGTTTTTCCCCTAAAAGTCTCTTTAAACCATCCTAAAGATCCTAAAGGTCTTGTTATTAATCACTTTCTGTGAAATTCCTTAGTCCTTTATGCAACATCTGAGAATCTTATGTAAATATGTTTTTGCACATCTTTTTGTATTAGTTGATTTTTTTTTCTTCCTTTCAGTAGATTCCTTTTAATTTGTTTTGGTTGGATTTGGGGGTGTTTTTTTTTGAGATAGGAGACATTCTTAAGCTTTATTTTTGAAGCAATTCTGTAAATATGAAAAGTTCTCTAAATATGCATGTCATCAGCTATGTAAGGTGCTAGCTTTAGAGGGTGTATTTTGATATTAGTTAATGTATTCAAATCTGAAAATAAATGCTCTGCTTATGCAGCTTCCACAATTGCTATTTATAGACATCTCATCTTCCCTGTTACTGATAGGTGTAATTAACGAGCCACCACTGGGAATTTTCCTAATCACACAAGACTCTTAGTTGTAAGTACAAAACAGCCTACGCTCAATTCTGAGTAGGCAGAAATGAGGATAACTTACATCAGATGTCCTATTTCGTGTTAAATCCATGACCCTTTCCTGTCCCACTCCCTTCTGCATCCAATCATACACTTAAGGAAAATTAGGGTTTGGTGACAAAGTTTGTCCAATTTAAAGCAGCTGGTTTTGCCAGCAGTAGAATCCCTGCTTGCTTGTGTTGTCTTTTAAAACCTGCCCTCCTAGAAACCCTGTCAGTTACCTGGTATTTTTTGCCTTTCATTGGGAAGGAGCAAATGAGTTTTCAGTGGTTTGCTGATAGTCAAGACCGCAACCTATATGTCCTCTTGGTGCCTTTAAGAGGCAATTCTTGCATATTTAGTAATATTTGAAGTTTGTGATGTTGGGGATCACTTAATTTTCCATGAACCTCTTTAGTTCTTCAGTTTCTCTGAATTTGAAAAGAGAGAAAAAATATATTGTTTGTGTTTAAAGACATATAGGCACCCTTGTGTACCTTTTCCTCTTAACCTATTGTTAGCTTCACTTTTCAAGTAAGATTTTGTTGGAAGTACAGCACTTCAGAGTGCTCTTACAAAGTCACAGTTTTCTATTAAGTACTTTTCCTATTGAATAACATAACGTCACACTGGTGTGGGGGTGGAAGGGAGTCTACAACAGCAATAAAGCCCACTGAACCTCCCTAGCTTGCAAGGTGATTAAAAAGAAAAAAAAAAAAAAAAGAAGAAGAAGATTGTTCTTACAGTAAGCTGTTTGATAAAATTTAGTTCCTTTTAAATTCAATTTCTTGGTCAAAAGTGTTGAATGAATTCAAGATTTCAGATCGTTAGAAACAGAAATATCAAGAAAATTTGTTGGCGAGCTTGACTTCTGAGTGAGGAGCTGGGGAGATACCCATTGGGTAAGAAAATTTTTCTTTCTCTCATATTTAATACCCACATTTGGCCACAGAAACTTATTTTATTTAGAACTTTCATTTGGGCACGTTCCCATATAATCCTTAACCTTCAGAGTTCTTCTGTGAGCCCAATAGTATTCATTTTGGTAATGGGAAAACTGAAAACATTGTAGGCTGCCCTGCTCAACAAGTGATACCCTAACGACTGTGGAGTGGTACCAGCTGCCTCTGGCAGCTTGTCCTTTATGCCGTCCTTTGGAGTGTACTCTGCTGTAGACTGTAGTTACTGGGGGTGAGGTACCAAAAGACCACCTGAAGCTGTAGGTTCTGTGATTAAGAACAATTGTCCTGCTAATACTTGGTCTGAGAAATCCTTTATCGTCGTTGTAGTGATGACTACCAGAACCTTTAAAGAAAGATCAAAGTAACATTACGGGAAGTTACAGTTCTCATCCCAATACCTGTTAGAGGTTCTCCAGAGAAGACCTTTAATTCTTGAGTTAGTTTTTTTTAGCAGTAGCTCTGCACCAGCTTAGTCTGGGTGCTTGCTGGTGACTGGGGTCAGACCCCAAGTAGCTCTTCGGTTGAGGTCATTCATATTCTCTAGATTTATAGTTGTTTTTCTAGAACAGAACAACAAAGTTAACAGGTTTAAGGGATGTGAATTAGAAAGAAATAGAGCTTCTTCACTGTGCAGATGACTCTTACAGGTTTCTTACTCTGAAGTTTATGCTGCTGCTACCACAGTTGGATTTATCAAGTAGGGAAA